TTCAAAATACCATGATTGCACCAAATTTTAACACGAAATTCCGACAAGAATGAGTAAAATTTATCTTTGAGCAACTTATCTTTTTATGTTTCCGCTGAAAGTTTGAAAACCCACAAAAATCGTGCGTTTGCGTTAACATATCAAGAAAAGTAAGGTCAGAAATGAATTCTACGATCAAAATACCACAAGCCAGGGAAGTTTCAACACGAAATGTCCACAGGAACGAGTGAAATTTATCTTTGAGTAACTTATGTTTTCACGTGTCTACTGAAAGTTAAAAAGAACCCCCAAAATTATGTGTTTCCGTCAATAAATCAAGTAAAGTAAGGTCAAAAATGAATTCTACGATCAAAATACCATAAGGTGCCCAAGTTTCATCACGAAATGGCCATTGGAACGAGTGGAATAGTCGAAACAAGTTGGGGCGCAAGGCGATGACCGGGCATTCCTATGCTTCGCTCCACCGTGGGCCGGCTCCCCTCATGCCGCGCACCCCTCGCCTAAAACTTTCAAAGCTCGCCATTTTTAAACGGTTCGGCCGATTTAGCTCAAATTCAATACCAAACCATGCAGTCCTAGGGGAGAACTACCACCCGTAAAAATTGCAGCTTAAAATATTCATTTTCGCTCGAGTTATCGAGTGGACAAGATTTGACCTCCCCCCACTTTCGAGCCCCACCCCTCAAAATCTGTTGCCTCAAATTTCAATTTTTTTTCGCGGAATAGTAGTTCTAATGAGTCTCTACTAAATGCAAAAGAATTGGTCAAAATATCTTTCAACATAAGAAAGATGTAACTACTCAAAAATCGAAAAATCTTAAAAAGGCGGAAATACATACATACATACATACATACATACATACATACATACATACATACATACATACGTATGAAGAAAAAAAACACTAAGACACATATACATACATATATACATACATACAGAGTGATCCAAAAGTCCTTTCCACCCCCTCTAACTTCTTACCTAATTGAGCTAAAGATTTGAAACTTGGGGGATAATCCTAGGTCAAAGGGAGCTACTTTTTGACCCCCCTAAAATTTTCAGGGGGGCTCCCCTTGGGGGGGGGGCAACAGCCCCCAACTTTTAATTTTCAAATGAGAAGACCTCCTTTGTGTTAGCTCGTTCGAAAGAGCATAAAAA